GGTGCGGCGCGGCAGCAGGGAGTGGAGCCAGCCAGGCATGGGCGGCGGCTGGGTGGTGGCCAGGTGCAGCAGGTAGGTGATGAAGACGGTCTCCAGCAGGCTGAGCACCATCAGGGACAGGCACAGCGCGAAGTAGACACCTGAGGGTGAAGGAAATTATAAATACTCCAGGGCAGATTCAGCTTTAAAGTTTCCTGAAGCCTCTTTCCCGAATTCGATCCTTCCTCTGAACCCCTTCTCTCAAGTGGAGTGGCAGTCAGTTCTCCCTGTCCCTCTCCCTGTGCCTACTGTCTCTAGCTTCTCTGGGACACAGAAGGAGCCATACTGATGAGGGGGGTGCCGCTGGCAGGGAGCAGGTCGTTCATCATGAGCAAGAAGACGTTGTAGCCCAGCAGGAGGGTGATCTTGAACGGGGCGCGGTTCCCACTCCAGGACGGCAGGTAGAAGCCGGCAGGTAGAAGCTGAGGGCGTCGATGGCGACCAGGAAGCCACTGGGCACCAGAAGGTTGATGACGTAGAGGATGGGCCTGCGCCTGATGGCCACCTGACGAGAGAGCAAAGAGGGTGACAAGTGAGTTGATACCAGGGAGCTCCTGCTTGTATGCTGACTGTCTAATCCTTGCCATGGTGTTAGATTGGCGTTAGGCTGTCTACGGGGCATTCTCTTTAGGTAACACAAGCATTCGTAATCGTGTTCATCTACATAAGTGTCTCCGATCTGTTGTCTAATTTTTACTTACTCTCAACTTACTGGGGACACAATGGTTATAGAATTTTAGGGGCACGTGGGGCCCTCTGGGCCATCAAATGGTTGGCTGCTCTGCCCAGAGCAGCGGTGCTTACACCTTCCAGCCGCCCTCCCCTCTGCAGGGCAGGGGAGTGTAAGGAAGGGAGGGAGGCTCGAGGACCTGCTTCAGGGAGGGTGGGTAGAGAGCTAGGTAGAGCGTGGAGTGAGGAGCAGGTGCTTAATCCTCCAAGCTCCTTTTCACTTCTTGGAGAGAAAAGTCACACAGCGACTGGGAGCAGAAGTCGAACGGGAAGCTCGGGCTCACTCACATAGAACATGATCTGGTCGTAGAGGTTGCTGCCCACGGACATCTTTGGGGTGGCCTTGTTGATGCCCAGGAGCTCCCATTCTCCCTGGGTCTTAATGACGTCACGAGAGGTGTCTGTGATCTCCCACACTTCCTTGTCCATGCCCAGGAGCATGCTGTCCACTGTAAGGGAGTTCCGTCGGCTCAGTCCAGAGTCCCCACGCCTCCTGCCCACAAACCCGGTTCCTCCCATAGTGTGCGTCTTCAACAGATCTCCCACTCTGTCCTGCTAAAGCACAGCAGTGCTTTTCTCAGAAGGGTTCGGGGCAGCAGTTCGCGTGTGTGTGGGCTGCAGACTCCCTTCGTTGTCGGAAACAGAAGCGAGTCAAGGTGGTTATGGGAATATTGGCTGTGACTCCAAAGTGAGGCAGAACTTGTGGAGGTGTTCCTACTTTCCTTCTCAATTCTCCAGTTGCATGCTGCTGTTTTAGTGGGATCAAATTTTGTGATTTATTTATTTATTTTATAGATTTTTGCCATGGAGTGCATGCACTTGTCAGAGAGAGACAGAGAGAGAAACAGAGAGGAGAAGTGAGAAATTACCTGCAGGAGGGATGGCCATGCTGCAATCCCTTCTCCATTCTCCTCTCGGGATTTGGGGAACGTACACACATTTGCCTGGCGTGTTTGTCAAGTGACTGGGTCTGGGACTCGGTTCTCAGAGTTGGCCAGGTGGAATCCAGTGCCTTTAACCACCATGCCACCTGCTGGCCCAGTGGTATCACACTTCAACTGCTCAACATTGTAATAATCGTATGCACACCCATTATGATGATCGATTGGGCCAGACATACCACATAACACTTGGCACGCAGGTTAATGTATTGGCTTACTATGTGTATGTTAATAATTTTTTTAAAAAAGAATTATTTATTTATTTAATTCAATTTGTTATTATTATTTTTTAATTTGACCAGAGAGAAACAGAGAGAAAGGGAAAGCGAGAAAGCAAGCCTCCAGGTCCGGGACTTGAACTGTAGTTGGCCATGTGGGAATCCAACGCCCTCAATCTCTGTGCCACCTGCTGTTAATGATTAAAATTAAAACATTTGAGGGAACCAGCAGTTAGCATAATGGCTATGTCGCTGGACTCCCACGTAGTCGACCGCGGTTCACGTCCCGGACCCGGTGGCTTAAAACTCACGCCGGGCGCGTGTGCGTGCGTGCCCAAGATCCCGAGAGGAGAATGGAGGAGAAGGGATTGCGGCGTGACCATCCCCTCTGGGGGTGATTTCTCACTTTCTGTCTCTATGTCTCTCTATGTCTGTCTGGCGAGCGCACGCACCCTATAGTGAAAACCTCTCTCTCAAAAAAAAATTAAAACATTTGAGCTAGGGGGCAGCAGGTGATAGGGTGGTTAAGGTGCTGGGTCCCACATAGTCAACCAGTTTGAGTCCTGGACCCAGCAGGTTGAAAATCACAATGGGTGCTCTGTGTGTGCTTGCCCAAAATCCCAAGAAAAAAATGGGGGGAAAGGGACTGTAGTGTGGCCGTGCCCCCTGGGGGTGATTTCTCACGTTTGCGCTCTCTCTCTGTGGTGAGTGTACACGTGTTAAGGCAAAAACCTTAAACATTTTTTGAGCTAAAAGTGAGGAGAGTGTAGCAGGTCAGGCTTGGGTGAACTTCGTCTGGCCCGTGGCCATCTGAGACGTGAAGCAGGAGCCCTTACTCCTGTCAGCACATCAGCATCACTTGGGGAGATACGGACACAAACAGGGCTGAGACCCGCCTGCAACGATTACACTGGAATCTCTGAGACAGGGCGGTTACCGGGATTTTTAAAAGGCCTAAGTGGGTAGTCAGAGTTGGGAAGCACTGATCTAGAACCTTCCCTAACAACACCGCCACCACCTACGTAGCTTTCTCTGAATCGGAAGCAGCTGCTGAGGGTGCCTCTTACCCGTGTAGAGGAAGGGGCTGAAGGTGAGCGTGCAGTTCTGCTGGTCGAAGGGGAAGTAGAAGATGTCCAGGTTGCAGATGCTGGTCACCCGCATGGGCTTGTCATACTTGATCTGGCCTCTGCTGCTGACGTAGGCGGTGAGACCCGAAGGAGTCTGGTCCACGTCCATGCTGTTGGGAAGGCGAGGGAGAGGTGGGGACGCAGGGCCTGCGTCGGCTTTCGTCCCCTCCTTTCCACGTCTTCCCTAGTGTGCTCCTCCTGCCTCCTTCCCTAATGCCGTCCCAGCTCGTCTGACTCCTCGCCGTGGTGTGGAAGTCGGTTACTCCACCCCGTGACCCCGTCTAAATCTTTGTGGCTCTGTGCCCTGCACTGGCGCTAGGTCATTCTTTGCAGGCGGGGCCTCACACTGGCTTTCCCCAGCCCCGATACGCACGATTCCACAATGAAGATGTCTGGGAGCCACAGGTTTTCAGCAGATATAGTAAGTCTGTTGATGCCGACACACTCTTGTGGGTTCCAGCTGATGAAGGCGTTGTCCCACATCTGCAGTGAGGAGCGGAGGCACGTGGCGGAGAGCCTAGTCAGCCCCTCCTGCTCTTCTTTCCGTTCTTCTCTAAACCCCCATCCTCCCACTCTCGCTTGGGTTCCTATTGGCCACAGCCCATCTCTCCCTCTTTATTTAACAAGGGGGGAGGCATCATCAAATTCACCAGTAAAGTATAATTAAATAGCTTTTTTTTCTCCCCAAGCACATCTTAAATCTGGCCTGAGACCACTTAGAGATGGACACACCAACAGAGTGGCTTACAACCACTTGGCTGTTTTGGGTGCTTGCCACGTCTACCCTCCTGAACTGCCCAGAGAACTTCGTGTCCCAAGAGTCAGTCGAATTTGAGATGGAGTTGTTTTGTCTCAGAAAAATTTATACCTTGGGTAGAGGTTTGGACTATCAAGGTTTTAAATCACTTCTAATTCCTCAAATGTAAAATTATAAATGAGAGTGGGAAGGGGGGAGTCGAATCTGCCTTACCAAGTCCATCCACAGGAATGACGTCAGAAGCTGGAGCTGTGCGTCCTGACAAAGAAACTCTCACCCAGGGTTATTAGTGCAGGAGGACTGAGCCATGGCCGCCCCATAGCCTCACCAGTATTTACTGATTTCTTAGGGTTGGCATAGTTCTCAGCCTTGGACTGACTTTTTCTTATGTGTTTCCCTTGTGACTAGGGACAATTCAGATGTTAATTGATGTGCAGACCACCCCTTTCTGGAGCATTCCAGAAAGAACAGGACTCGATGACAAATTCTATCTGAAAGTAATGTCACTGTAGCACTCATCTCAAGCCACCCAACCCAGGAAAACAACTAATTTGTAGTGAGTCCCTTCTGGGTACCTAGTGTTGGCCGCTGGACTGGCATGACATTGGGCTGACAGCAGAGGACCCTGTCAGAAGCTGTGGAAGGATGCGGGGACCAGGTCTCACCACTTCCAAGATGGCGGACAGGGTGAAGGAGATGTTGACTTGAGTGGGCATGCTGTTGTTGATGACTGGACGGAAGGCCTTTCTGTCAAACACTGCTTGGAAGGCCGCGGGATCTACCCCATATTGGTCAAAGCCTGAGCAATTGATGGTGAAAGTGTCGCCTCTTCCTGTGGAGAGCAGAGACCAGATGAGAGAGGCCCCCAATTGCCAGCACTGGGATCTCTGTGCAGAGAGAGAAAAAGAAGACCTTATGGGAGAAGGAGTTGAACAACAACTTCCTGGGCTAATCCTCCCCAAGGCCAAGGTTGGGAGGATGGGCCGGCTGGTAGGCAAATGGTGGAAGCTGATGTGGTGAGCAAGTCTTTACTCTCTTCTTCCTTTGTTTCCTTCTCATGCAAAATCTGCCCGAGTCTATATGCAAACTTGGCTTTACTGCAATGGCTGCCTCAAGAAGTCCTTTAATGTACCCATCGCAAGCGTCCTGGTTCCACCTAGCGGTGCACCGCTCAGCACTGCCCTAACGCGTGTAGTCCCGGTCAAGTAGAAAGCGCGCTGCTCTAATGTATTCTCCTCCTGGCCCTTCGGGACTTCTGTCTACTCCAGCAAGAACTGACGGAGCCAAAGGGATCGGGAGTAAACAGGCGCCTCGCTGGGGAGGTGTGGGGCCCATGTAGCTCGTGCTCTCAGTCGGCGCTAGGCATTTATTCTGCTCCCCTCGGACTTAGCGACCTGGCCTTGCTGAGCACTGCGTCATAGGTGCCGGGGCTGGCACGTCACTGAAGGTGTATCATGTGCCCAGTTGTAGGGAGAGGCTGAGGCAGACTTCCTTCCTTCCTTCCTTCCTTCCTTCCTTCCTTCCTTCCTTCCTTCCTTCCTTTCTATTGAGAGTTTTTTGCTATAGGCCACGTGTGCTCCCCGGAAAGACAGAGAGAGACAGAGAGACAGAAAAGGAGAAATCACCCCCCAGGGGGGATGGCCACACCGCAATCCCTTCTCCTCCATTCTCCTCTCGGGATCTTGGGCACGCACGCACATGCACCTGGCTTGAGTTTAAGCCACCGGGTCCGGGATGCGAACCGCGGTCGACTACATAAGAGTCCAGTGACATAGCCATTACGCCAACTGCTGGTCCCAGACATCGTTTCCTGACGGTACCACCTGGGCAGTATCTGAGTAGAAGTTTTTGTTATTGGCATCTTTTTTTAAAGAGATGTTTGCTGTAGGGCATGTGCAGTCGCTGAAGAGACAGATAAGACACAAAGCAAGAAATCCGCCCCCACCAGGGGGATGGCCAGCCTCAATCCCGTCTCTGCCACTCTCCTCTCCGGATCTTGGGCGTGAGCTTGAAGCCGCCAGGTCAGGGACTCACACCGCGGTCGACTTCGTGGGAGTCCAGGGTAACCACCCCGCCATCTGCTGGTCCCTCTTATTGCCACCTTCCTGTGGTCTTTGCCTCTCCTGTGTCAACATCTCTTCCTGTGCTAAAGTAAGTGCTCAGCCTGGAACAAATCTCCCTTCACGGAACAAAGTATCCTTGTACTTCAGACTGAGCCCTCCCTTCCTGGTGGTGTACTTTTTTATTTTTTAAGTTTGCTTACTTATTACTTCCATGAGTGAGAGCGTCCGAGAAGGGGACAGAGAAGTGCGATGGCAGCCCGCCAGCCCCGGCGCATGCGCACGCGCACGCATGGGCCTGTGCGCTCAGGGAGGTTTCCAGCTGCCAGCTTGCAACCTCCAGGGTGGGCGGGCCTGGCCGAGCGCCGTGCCCTGCTGCTGTGGGGTTTCTAGTTGATCCCTCAGGGAAGGTTGAGCTCAGTGACTACTCTTCCCATAGATGCCATTCAAAGGGAAAAGACAGGAGATGGCGAAGAGGGCCGTGCCGGAAGTCATGCCAAGATGGAATTGGAGAGGTGCCGAAGGAAGACCGCTCAGGAGATCCCTGCGCAGGCTGGGGTGGAGAAAGGCTGTGTGTACTCACCAGTCATCTGTCTGTCTGTCAGAAGAAAGGGTTACGAAAGAACCGCTCAGCACGTTAGTTCTGAATGCCCTCCCAATGCTAGAGGAAGCCCAGGTGTCCCCCAGACACCCTGGTGTCCCCTGTTCTCGCCTCGTCTTACCTGGAAGCAGAAAGCTGACAGTGAGGCGGAGGAAGACTGCTGTCCAGGAAGGCCACCCCACTTCCATCCTCCTCTCCTGAGCTCTTCTCTGGGACTCATCCGGAGCCCCCACATCCTTGAGCTTAAAGGAGTCTGACCACACCTTGGTTCCTGGGTTTGAATACTGCCCATGTCAGGTGGCCACTCCCTAGTGACAGGCTGTGGCAGGAGAGGTCACCGCAGTGTCCTGCTGTGCCCCTGTCCAGGAATGCCTGCCGGCTCCCAGCAGCCAGGAAGCTGGGCCAACACAAGGGAGAAGCGTTCAATTTGGCAGCACTAGGCCGAGATCAATAACAAAATAACTTGCCTTAGTGAGAGAGCGTGGGTGGGGGAGTAAGGATTATGTTCTTCCGAAGCCTGGAGCCTGCGGATTTGGAAAGGCGGTGAATGTAGGTATTTATTTGGCTATGAATAGTAAAGTATCTTATAGCTTTTGCTGACATTGGGGATTATCCAAAATACCAAATTCTAAAGCCTGGTTCATACTTTCGGCATCCATTGTCTGTATTTTTCCCATAGCCTCTAACTAGACACCCTTTTCCAGTCTGCCTTTGCAGTTCCTTCTCCCCAAACCAGTGTTCTCCATATATTTTCTATGCTATACATTGATCACATGATAATAAAGGTCACAAAATTATGAAAGCAAAGCTGTTTTTAAGATCTTTATATTGCTAATAGTTTATAGGTAACGTATAATTTATTAACGTACAGTCTCAGCTGATAACAATATAGTTGGCCTGGGTCAATATTATGTCATGTCCTATTTCTATTAAAAAATACAACTGGACCCATGGGACCAGCAGATGGCATAATGGTTTCATCGCTGGATTCCTACGTAGCTGACCAGGGTTTGAGTCCAGGACCCAGTGAGTTAAAGATCATGTCAGGCGCATGTGCATGCATGCCCCAAATCCGAGAGGCGTATGGAGAAGGGATTGCGGCCACCTCCTTGGGGGATGACGTCTCACTTCTGTTTCTCTGTGCCCTATAGCAAAAAAAGTCTTGCTCTGAAAACAAAACAAAACAAAACAACTAGACCCAATCAGTGAATTAGAGCATTTTCATACTCTGAATCTTAGTTACAATTCCAGAAAGACTTAGAAAGTTTTTCCTTGCAGAAAGGCTGCAGGGTCAGATCTGGAATTCAACACACCGTGCTCAGAGGGGAAGATCACGGAGGCCCTAAATAGAAAGTGCTGAGAAAGACAGGAACGGCGGGGCCTGGGGAAGAGGGTTGCGAGGCGTGCCACTTGAGGCAGTCCTGCAGCCCTACCAGCTCTGGAAGCCATTTCTTCCCATCTTTAGAAGCTTGGCAGCCTGAGGTGGAGGTTGATGGGAAGGGATGAAGGAAGATCAAGAGAAAAGAGAAAAAAGGTAGCTAGAATTGCTGGGAATGGCAAGGGAGAATTGTTATAAAACCAGCTTAGGCAGAGGGTTGGCTTTATAGGCTGGAGGTTAAAAGAACTGGACCTCGCATGGCCAACCACGGTTCAAATCCTGGCCTCAGTGGCTTGGAAAAAAATGGGTGGGACCAGCAGTTAGCATAATGGCTATTCGCTGGACTCCCATGTAGTTGACCACGGTTCGAGTCTCAGACCCAGTGGCTTAAACTCATGCCAGGCGTGTGTGCGTGTGTGCCCAAGATCCTGAGAGGAGAATGGAGGAGAAGGGATTGCAGTGTGGCCATCCCCACTGGGGGGTGATTTCTTGCTTTCTGTCTCTCTGTCTCTCTCTGTCTTCTTGGCGAGCACACACGCCCTGTAGCAAACCCACCCACCCCCCAAAAAAAGAAAGAAAAATGGGTGGGGGCCAGCAGGTGGTGGGCTGGTTAAAGCACTGGATTGCACATGGCTGACCTTGTGGTTCGAGTCCCCAACCCAGTGGTCTGAAAAAACACGTCATGTGCATGTGTGCACATGCTCCAAGTGGAGGAGAAGGGACTGTGGTGTGGTCATCCTCCCTGGGGGTGGATTTCTCACTTTCTGTCTCTGCCTCTTTGGCTAGCGCACACACCTGATGGGAACGAACAGCTCAGGGCTCTCTTTTGTGACTTGGAAGAGTTCAGCCAGGTTAGCTAGCACCTGGCAGCATACTGGCTAGCCCAGGAGGAGCTGCTGGCATGGGGCTGGGCATTGGCCAGGCTACGGGTGGTCCTCCTGGCCAGGAAGCCGTGGTCCTGTACACAGAATAATTTTAACGCAAACACAGGCGTGATGGGACAGATCTGGGAAGGCAAGCACAGTGGTGATCCACTAGGAAACGGATGCGAGCACAGACAGGAGTAGGTGAGATCCCACCTTTGATTTTAGACTAGAATACAAGGGGTCTTCAAAAAGTTCACAGATAACTGAGTGTTTAAAAATACGCATGAATTTCAAAAAAAGTTTAAAAAGAATGATTTTTTTTAACTTTTATTTTAATTTGACAAGAGAGGGACAGAGAGAGGGACAGAGAGAGAGAGAGAAAGCAAGCTGCCAAGTCTAGGACTCGAACCATGGTTGGCCATGTGGGAGTCCAGTGCCCCTCACCACCATGCCACCTGCTGGCCCCTCAACATTCTTATATCCAAATAAACATAATTTAATTCCACTTCCTACCAACTTTTCTCCTTTTCAAAGCTTCTATTTATTTTTTTCTTTATTCATGAGAGAGGGCATGCATGCACAAAAATGAAAGAGAGAAAGTCCAGGGGGGCCTGGCCATGCCACATCCTGTCAGGATCCTGGGCTAGCTTTGCAAGACCCAAATTTTCTCTTTCTTTGTAATGTTTACTCTGTAGTTGTCCTTTTTTGTTCGACATAATGAAGAACTTGTGATGGTTGTTCGGGAGGAGGCATGTCTGCTCAGACTAGCTCTCCTGGAGTTCAACCCAGGACACAGTCGTCCTTACAGGCCCGGACAGCCTCTCCTGGGAGCCCTGCCTGCTCCTTCCCTTCTCCAGCAGGCTCTCAGAGAGGGGCGGCCAGCCATCTTTAGATTGCTTCTGTGACCGAGAGGTCAATTTTTTTTTTTTTTTCAAGAGGTTTTTGCTATAGGGCACGTGCGCTCACCAGAAAGACAGAGACAGAGAGACAGAAAGCGAGAAATCACCCCCCAGGGGGGATGGCCACGCCACAATCCCTTCTCCTCCACTCTCCTCTCGGGATCTTGGGCACACACGCACACGTGCCTGGCGTGAGTTTAAGCCACCGGGTCCGGGACGCGAACTGTGGTCGACTACGTGGGAGTCCAGCGACATAGCCATTACGCTAACTGCTGGTCCCAAGATACCACTTTCTAAACCCATTAGGAATACCTCCCCCCCCACTGTCTTGGGAATATTCTGGGAGTCTGTAGGACTTTTTAACTCCAGCCACAAATCTCTCCAAAGCCAAGCTGAGGGCTTTCAAGGTGGTTCAGAAATTTTTTTCTTTTTAATCTGCCAGAGGGCAAGTGCGCTCACTGGAGAGAGAGAGACAGAGAAAGTGAGAAAATACTCCCACAGGCCATGTTCCCACTGCAGTCCCTCTCCTCCATCTCTGCTCCTCCCAGTGCCCCAGGCACTCATGCACACGCCCCATGCTCAGTGCCTGGGAGCTCACGCACACGGTCCGTGCTCAGTGCCTGGCAGCTCACGCACATGCCCCATGCTCAGTGCCCAGGAGCTCACGTACACGGTCTGTGCTCAGTGCCTGGGAGCTCACGCACATGCCCCGTTCTCGGTGTCCAGGAGCTCACGCACACGATCCATGCTCGGTGCCCAGGAGCTCACGTACATGCCCCATGCTCAGCGCCTGGGAGCTCATGTACACGCCCCGTGCTCGGTACCCGAGAGCTCAAGCACACGCCCTGTGCTCAGTGCCCGGGAGCTCATGCACATGCCCCATGCTCGGTGCCCAGTAGCTCATGCACACGCCCTGTGCTCGGTGCCCAGGTGCTCACATACACACTCGGTGCTCAGTGCCCGGGAGCTCACGTACACGCTCCGTGCTCAGTGTCCTGGGCGCTCATGTACACGCTCTGTGCTTGGTGCCTGGGAGTTCACGCAGATGCCCTGTGCTCAGTGCCCTGGGAGCTCATGTACACGCCCCATGCTCGGTGCCTGGGTGCTCATGTATAAGCCCCGTGCTCAGTGCCCTGGGCACTCATGCACACTCGCTCTGTATGCTTCTCAAACCTCAGGTCGGGATTCCAACCTCACAGTCGGCCATGTGGGTTCCAGCCGCCTCACCACCATCCAGTGACTGACCCCATGTGGTTCAGAAATGTTCTGCTGATCCAGGATCGTTGTAGGACAGTCAAGAACTTCGAACGCTCTCCTTTGGCTGGGCATCTCGGTGCCTCCCTCCTGGATTCACGCATCTCTAGGATTCTCGAGCACTTGCTCTGCAGGATGTCATCTAGGGATGGAGCCTTTGCATTTGGGCTTTAACTGCCTCCTGGGGCAATTCCGGAGCCAGTTGGGTCTCCTGTGAACCTGGGGCTACCTGGAGCAGGGTTTCTCAGTCTCAGCCCTGCTGACACTCCACTCGCTGGTAACTGCAGAGGGCACACCTGTGCTTCGTAGGATGTTTAGCGGCAGCTCTGCAATTGATCTGGGGCAGTTGCCACTGGCATAGCCTTATGGCCAAATAAAGGTCACAAAATGATGGGAAATTAATGAAAAAGACCTATGGTCTAGAAACTTATGGGAGGAATTGCTTGAAGCCTCCAGTAAATAAATATTTTGTCACTCGTGTTGCAGCTCACTGAAAGAATGGCAGAGATGCCAGTCTTTAAGAACGTAGAGGATGCTCTCAGCAGGTCAGCTCAAGACAGTAGTGAATGAAAAGCTATTGCTATCTCCTGGGGGGACCTTTTATTTGAGATGTTCCTAATCAGACAGGACATAAAGATACATACCACGTGCACCCTTCGTAGGTACGAAGGAACGAGCATACCTAGCACGGTCAAGAAAGGAAAATAGGGACTAGCAGTTAGTGTAATGGCTATGTCGCTGGACTCCCATGTTGACTGCGGTTCGAATCCTGGACCCGGCGGCTTAAACACACGCTGGGCGCGTGTGTGTGCGGGCCCAATATTCCGAGAGGAGAATGGAGGAGAAGGG